AAAACAGTTGTTTTTTTGTTCAGACCGAAGTGAAAAAATATTTTGTGACTGGGATCGGGATACAAACCAAGAACACATAAGTAGTGGATTCCAATCTTCAGTATTCTTAGATATTTAGTTTGTCCTATATCTTATATGGTAGTACTTACTTGAGTATTTGAAGAAATTCTGAAAAAATATCTGATAGTCACCTGCTATATATCCATTATTTTCATTACCTCCGGCATTTTCGTTGTCTCTTATATCTTAATTATGTCCTAATTGTTTGCTAGTAGTGAATTGAAAAATCTTGCGGAAAATACAAATTTCCTGTTTGTTCAACAAAGGCATCTGTTGCGGGCACTGCCGTCACAGTATGTTTTCTTTCTCTTCTCTCTATTTCACTGGACGTGATATCTTTGATCACATATCATCAGATCTTTCTTTTCGTTCAAACCCTTGATGCATGTGATCACATATATGAGTGAATTGCAACTTTTTGATACAATTGATGGCTCAGCTGTATTTCGCTAATAACTTCTGTTTGTCTCAACCAATTTAAACAATTTTTTAATATGTTATACCCTTTTGGGCTCCCACTGCCATAAAAAATTTCAGCTTTCTAGCTCATACTGTCACTCAGTTATAAAAAATTTATTACAAAAAAATGTCAGTTTTGTCATAATAGGTGCTAAGAAAATGAAATTTTTGACTATAAAAACGCAAGAGGAAAAGAAGATAATTAGTCTATTTTGTAGAGCGTCCGACGCTCTTATCCAAACATATAACTGATTTTAATCTTATTTTTCGTTCCTTCTTTCGTCCACCATTAATATTAATTGACAGACACTTGTACATATTTGTGTAGAGTGACGAAAACATCATTTCTAGCTCAGCCTATGATAGAGCTCGTAGCGCGCAGACTATATCAAAAGAAAGAGGACTCTTCAACTACCAAACTGATGAGAAAATGTTCTCTCTTATCAGATTTATTTCAGGAAAAAAATAGCAAGACTTTCTGAAAAAAGGGTCTATATACTCACTTTGTAGAGTGACGATTTGAAAATTGTCATCTTTATAACTCCTCAACGGCTCATTCAATTTCCATCAAATTTTTACAGGAGGTACAAAACAAAAAGTTCTACTAATGGTAAAAATTTCAGTTGTAGATCTTGTACGAGTCAGGAGAAATTTACATTATACTGAAAAATGTAGTGACATTTTTTTAGAAAAAATGTAGAATGACGCTTTTTGAAAATTACTTTGTGTAGAACTCGTGAAAGGCTCGTTGGTTTTCGCTCAAATTTTTACTGTAGATATATTTCTCAGACTTATATAACCGGTAAAAAATTCAGCTTTCTATCTCTTACCGTTCTCAAGATATTTACATTACATGATGAACTCTAAAATAACATTTTTCATGAAAATAACGTTTTTTTTATAGTACATTTATGTTGAAGTAAGTTGTATCTCAGCTAATATGCGGTAAAGTGTTGAGAAAATTTTGCTGTATACTACAGGCGTAGAGCCTAATAAAATGCACTACTCAAAACTTGTTTAGGTTCATTTTCATTTTTTCTGGTCAATCGTACCAAAAAGTTGCAATTCGCTCATATACATGTTTGTGATGTTGTAGTCAGTTGATTTTCATGAAAATACAAGAATTATGTTATTTTTAAAATTCGAACTCAAAGGGCATAAGAAAGAAGCACACGACAAGGATGACCAAGAAAAGCAACCAAAGCTTTATTAACGCAATAACTGTGTAATTATATTTTTCACTCATACGTTTACGAATTTTTCCTTGACAAAATTTGCTTGTTTATCTACAGATAGAAATATTTTACTTAGAAAATCAATTTTATACAGTTAGAATTTAAAAAAGACTTAGCAAAAACTTCTTTCTATTTTGAGTCTTTTTGATTTGCTGAGAAAGAGTACACCTTTTTACTTATCATTTAATAAAAAATACTGAGCATTTAAATGACAACCTTTTTTCATATGTTTTCTTTTCCTCACATAAATATTAACGTGTAAAATTATGTATGTCTATTTAATTATGGTGTATCGTAACACAGACAATTTCATTAGAAGACTCCTGTCCATGTGCGTCTTGATTTCACGTTTGTGCGGAGAAAAATCAATACATATCTATGGGAGAAAAATATATTAAGTGTCTATTCATTCTGTCGCAAAATATATTCAGTCTTTAGAGTATCGGCAACGTGTTTGATGAAAGAAAGGTAGGAAAAAGACAATTATCAACGTAGAGAAACAAAAAATACCTTGGGTGATTTCATCATCAATTATTTCCTTCTTTTTTTGCTGGCTTCGTGGGAAGTAGGAAGTCGATTTATAAGTTGCATATATGGATTCATGCAAATGCCCCATTACGAATGAACTATTTGAAGATCCGGTTATAGGTGACGATGGACATACATATGAACGAAAAGCAATTACAGAATGGTTAACAAAAAATGGAATAAGTCCAATCACACGACAACCTATGAATATTGACTCATTGAAAGCAAATTATACAGTGAAAAAAATGATTGAAGAATTGAGATCCATATCACGACCACAACAAGCTCAATATCGATTTGAACTCGATGTCGATATTCGAAAAACAAGAACAAGACCGTTGTTTCAAGGCTTTGGCAAATCAATCTATGAAGTTGAGTGGATTAATCGCAAGGGGCCACCCATTATTTTACTCAAAATTGATGGAGCCAAAGCCAATCGAGAAGCTTCATTTTACGTTCAACTCAGTTGTCATCCTAGCATTGTTCGAACCTTTGGACTTGTTCAGTGTAATCCTGGTTCAGTTATGCTTCTTCAAGAATGTGCTCCGCATGGAGATCTCTCCGAACTGTTGCGAGAAAATGGATTCAAACCGGCAGAACGAGTTTTAAGAAAAATATTTGAGCAAATATGTGATGCCATGATTTGTCTCGTAAACAATGGAATTGTTCATGGCGATTTGGCCTGTCGTAATGTTCTCGTTTTTCGATCAAATTCCATTGAACCTAAAGAGAATTTAGTAAAATTAACCGATTTTGGTTTAACAAGAGGAAGTACAGTTTATTCAATGATCGATAGTCCATCAATGTCAACAATGACAATCATTCCTGTGCGTTACGCTGCTCCTGAAATTCTCAGAAATCCAGATAGAATAAGCTATTCTGAAAAGTCCGATGTTTATTCAATGGGCGTTCTGATGTGGGAAGCTTGCTCTTATGGTCAATTACCTTATTCCTCTTTACATAGTGATGATGATGTTAGACAACGAAAACTAAATGATGACAGACTTCCACAGTCAACTTCATGCAGTGATCAGCTGTGGACCATTATTAATGAGTGTTGGCAGCAAGAATCTCTGAAGCGTCCAACCTTTGAAGTTTTAAAAGAATCATTGCTGATGCTTGAGATTGAATTAACACACAGGTACATTAGAATTCACTTTATATTTCAAAGATAATAGAATGACTAATCTATCTTTAGCCGACAGCAAAGGTCATCTCCAATTGTGAATCGAGTTCCAGGCATTCTTTTATTCACCTTTTTTTGTCTTTTATTCCTATATTTTTTTAAGAACGACCATTGAATCAAGCTCCAGATGATATTGTTTACATTCCGTGCGAATATTGTGAAGTGCTAATTGATTTGTCTAATTGGTCCATTCACATCGTAAAGAGTGCATAAAGAATTGCATTAACCTATTTTTTTCTATTGTAGGACACTTGTCGTGAAAATGAGGAAAATCGACTAGCAAATCTCGCACAGTATTTTTTTTCTCTTTTTCTTGTCTGAAATGAACTGTTTCTAAAACTTATAGAATAATAAGCCAGGAACCTATTGAGGCAAAATTTCCATGTGAATACTGTCAACAATTATGTTCAGCAGATGAACTTGAAACACATGAAGTAAGTGCAACTATGAAATAGTCTATTCCAACTGCTTATCATTATTGTTCAACAGATGAATTGTCGACAAAATCTTCACAATCAAGTACAGACCATATCGCAAAATCAGTTATCTAATCAAGATTCAAGAGATAATCACAACAAACCAATTGCGATTGATGGATTAACCAGGCTTGATCTAGTCCATATGAGACCTGGTCACTCTCAACCAAGAAGTCCAACTTCATTTAATTTTGTTGAAACATCTTCATGCAACTCGAATCTAAACTGTTTTCAACCATCACCGAGTTTCATTCAAACAACTTCGGACAATTTGAATCAAATGGAATTTCAGCCACCACCTAGCTTTATTCAAGCATCTTCAAGCAACTCAAGTCTAAATCGTGTCCAGCCACTACTTAGTTTCAATCCAAGATCTTCAAACAACTCGAATCTAAACCGCTTTCAGCCACTACCTAGTTTCAATCCAAGATCTTCAAGCAATTCGAATCTAAACCGTTTTCAGCCACCACTTAGTTTCATTCAAACATCTTTGGACTACTCGAATCAAATGGATTTTCACTTAACACCTAGCTTCATGCAAACGTCTTTAAACAGATCGAACCAACAGAGAACACCATCAGTATCTGATTCTTCTGAAACATCTTCCGACGAATCGACTTAACGCAAATGTTGTTTTGATGATATTGTTGCTAATGTGTTCTGTATGCATGAATGTTTTAAGATTTTATGTGTGCTTGTTTAGATTTTCTATTCTATCTAAATGGCAATAAGATAATATTTTTTTCTGTGAATATGTCAGATTAGGAACTGATCACATGTCACATCGCAATTCTTTCCAGTCCTACATTACTCTTCAGTCTGGCGACACCAAAGTCAGTTATCAGTATTTTATGCAATTTAAAATTGTTTATCAAATCTCTATTTGAACGGGCGAATTTATAGTTTCACAGATGATAGGAATTACCTATACTCGTAATAATTAGTTGATTTGTATTTTAGTTATTTGGACTGTCAGCATTCTACGTTCAAGCAAATCAGCCAATCCCGTGACGACGACTTACATTTTAGTGTTTTTAATATTAAATATATAAAGGAAAGGCAAAGTATCGAAGGTATTGATTATTCTAGGACAGTATTGTGTTTTGTACTTCATTGAAAACAACACTACTTTGATGGAGTTTGTACAGTAAAAAAACACTTATTTTTTGTTACGTCATTATTTGGAGTGAGTGTAAGTGTGGATGTATTTGGGGTGGGTGTAAGGGTAGGACTTTACCTTTACTTTACTAATAACTAGATATTTACTTAGTTACTAATAAATAGTAACTATATATTTACTTATTTACCAGTAACTAACGAGGAAACTCCACCAACTGATTGAAAACTTTAAAGCTCATGTTTCAGTCATAAGTAGGACTTAGTAAGACTAGAACAATCCTAAAAGAATTTCTCATCATGGGCCTATTTTCTTTAGATATGAAGGTTTCAAGTTTAGGCCAAAAATATAGAAAAATTGCTTGTTGTGCTCGAATTACAACACTAACATATATTAAGAAGAAACTTTATGTTTGAAAGGCTCGTAGGTAAAACGTGAAGCTGTTGAAAGAATAATGTTGTATTGCTCATCTGATGATCTGACTGCTATATAAAAGAAGTACCAACTATTAATACTTCAATACAATAGGATTATTTAAGATATATGTTTCATATGCCATCATGCATGCGTGAATTACTTGCATGTATTGTCACCTTCGCACGTCTTCTCATTCGTCCTTGTTAACGGTGACTCGCATTCTGCCTATCCTCGATTTTCTATCTCTTTTTCTCTCCCTTCTTCTTTCTACTGTATTGTTATTGTTATTGTTGTTTCTCATCCATTCTCTCTTGTTCCTCTTCCCCTCTTTGTGTATATATATAGCTAGTGATTTTAAGGACATTTTTGAAGAGTCTTAACATATGAAATAAATCAACAACGTTAAGCTCGTCGAAACGAACTAATAGTGTTTTATCTTTTGTTTGCATCAGACTAGTATGTTTCTTACTGGGTTTCATCCAGAGTCAGAACAAGAATTAAAGGCAGAAGAGAGTCTTCTATAGAAATATTAGAAATTTCCTTTCGTGCTACAGCATGTTCTATTGATTCAGCCGAATGTTTTAGTTTTTCTATCTGTGTATTTCGGAAAATAAATTTTTTTTTGATATTAATATTGTAATTCAAAGGTGTGCGTGTGGGTATGGGTGTGTCCAAAGTAGAATAACATCCATACTCCACACCCATACCTACACTCACCCTCATTCATATCCACACCACCACTCATCCACCTCCACATCCTCACACGCATGCACTCATACCCACGCTCACATCCCACTCACGCTCCACACCATACCAGTACCCACACCCCACTCACATCCATACTCGCACCCACTTCACACCCACGATAGACATTCAATAAAGATACTTTTCAGTGCCAATTGATTTCTGTACTCTCGAATAATTGCAATTGTTCTCGAGTGAATCGTATTCTTTAGTTCTTTTTTTCTCAAAATATTTGCCATTATGCAATAAAATAAAGACGCCATATTCCATGAGACTGAGTGACTGTTTACATAGCCACAGTGTGCCAATGGGCATATAACCTTATGTGATATCTTTTCTTTCTCACTGTGTTCTTGTACAATCAATAATACGTAGCGTTCATAATCGCGTTACTCTTACGTTTATCTATGTAGGATTGAACCTTGTTCTTTTTCTGGCATAATACGCTTCTCATTCTATATCACCATTCACTCGTATACATTATGTATTGCTCTCACCTATGTATTCTTACTCTATTGTTCTTGTATATCTGTTCTCACCTTGGCCTCACCACTTGTTCATTCTTACGTTGTTCTCTCCTTGGCCTCATCATCTTTATTTTCATCATCTCTTATTCTACTCGTGTATATAAACGTGTGCTTTATATGTAAACGACACGATTGTATGATACGAAGATATAGAATAAAGTGTAATATCATCAACACTAACATCACTTCTATCATCAATCGTCACAAGACGATTAAATGATATAAAGGGATAAAATAAAAGTGTATCATCATCTCTCACACGGATATCTCTTCTACCATCATCATTTTTTCGTTACAATTGGCGACCCTGGCAGGATCGCCAGTTGTAACGAAAATATGATAATGAAAATCAGTCAGTTCTTGGCTTTGTCTTTGTGTCTGTTGACTTCTGCACACTTCCGTTAATTGTCGCTATCACTTGCTCATTTATTTCAACACCATTGTTCTTCCTTTACATATAAAGTTATACACCACTATGTATAACACTCGCACACGTGTATTTCGTTGTTGAATCTTACTCTATCCGCTCACTATCATCAACTGTCTGTATTCTCCACTGTTCTCTTTTCTCATTCACCTTAACCTTCTCGTGAAGAGAGAACAATGTGCATATATGCAGTGAATAGCGCAGCGATTACAAAGGTATTGAAAAAGTATTGAACACTATGAACAGTATTACGTAAGAATACAAGATTGACCTCATACAAGGTTCACATCATGCAAGGATGATATGAAATAAGAATGAACTAACGTAAAGATGATGTCACATACTGGTGATAGCATTTCACATCGGTGTGTCTCTTGGCACAAATATGTCTTATTAGCCAATGAACGTATTAAAATTTCATCGTTCCATGCATTCAATATTGAAGCCAAGCCAAACAAGCCATTATCAATTATAGAAAAGAAGAACGAAGAAGATGAATACGAAGTGACATCAATAAAAGAAACACCATGTCTAGCGAATGGCATTATCACACCGAGCCAACACATAACACTGCAGGTGGCTAATTTAACAAAAAGAACGATTATAATTCATTGGTATCAACGGCTCGCCACAATGACTCGTCTGAATCAATCACAAATAAACATGATGCAACATGGAAAAAATATCATCAACAATCAACCAAACAAAATCAACAGTGGAGAATGAACTAAATTTAATCAACACCGATTTAGACGAACATCAAAAGAAAGAAATTAAAAAAACTTATTAATACATTTCCTGACGTCTTTAATGAGCAAGCAGGAAGAACAAAAAATTACAACATCAAATTAACTTGGTTCCCGACGCACAAACACACAATTCGCCACTATTTCGATATGCACCAACAAGAAAACAAATTATTGAAGAAAATTTAAAAGATATGTTAGATCAAGGTATTATCTCACCATCGGCAAGTCCATGGACATCATCCGTTATATTAGCACCGAAAAAAGACGGTAGTCTACGTTTTTGTGTCGATTACCGGAAATTAAATTCAGTAACAATTCCTGATGCATACCAATTTTCAAGAATAGATGATACACTAGATTCATTTCAAGAAGCGAAATTTGTATCAACATTTGATTTACGATCCGGATACTGGCAAGTAGAAATGAACAACGATTCGAGAGAAAAAACAGCATTTGTAACACATAAAGATCTCTTCGAATTCAATGTTATGCCATTCGGTTTAATGAACACCCCAGCAACTTTTCAAGGGCTATAATGGATATAGTAAAAGGTGGTCCCAAAGTTTCGACCCCTGCTTAGTAAATCAAGAATACCTATATCAAAGTCGTATGAAAGTATTGATCAAATTATGTCATTTTGTAGAGGAAGAGAAGGCCTATCATCTGAAAGAAGGACAGTTTGAAATACATAAATTTATTATAAAGTTATGGTCATTTTACTAGTTTCGAGTGAGAATTTTTACTTTTGCTTTTTTTGCAAAAACCAAAATATTTTTGTAACATCTGAGCTGAAATAGTTTTCTGGAATTTTTAGTACGGTTGAATAGAGTTCGTCAAGCTCTACAAGAATATGAATATCAACAATTTCGCTGATCCTGTTTCTGACACAAAACTTGAAGACAACTAGAAAGACTAGTTAAAATCTCATATATCGTGTATTAAAGAAAGGGTGCTTAATCTCCAATATCTTTGGTCAATGGATTATTTAGTCTATTCCTGAAGCTTGGAAGGGTGTTTTCATCTACAATACGTGACAGAGCATCTCAACACGTAAAATGATAGACGGAACAGCCGATCTATGAAATTTATTGAATGTTGCGTACACCCTACAACACATGATTCACCAGATTTTTATTATTTTGTATTCAAAAGAGGATCAAAATTTTTTTGAAGGTCCATAGTTTGGTAGAGCTTGTCGAACTCTATCTAATCATATTAAAATCCATATCTCAATCGACTTTGATTACTCAAATATTGCAAGAATATTTTTGTTTTTGCAAAAAACGCAAAAGTAAAAATTCTCACTCGAAACTAGTAAAATGACCATAACTTTATAATAAATCTATGCATTTCAAATTGTCTTTTTTTCAGATGATAGGTCTTCTCTTTCTCTACTAAATGACATAATTTGATCAATACTTTCATACGACTTTGATATAGGTATTCTTGATTTACTAAGCAGGGGTCGAAACTTTGGGACCACCGTTTATTAGCTAGTCTCAAGTGGCAGTGCTGCCTCGCATACATCGATGATGTGGTAATATTTTCACCAACATTTGAACAACATGTTATAGGTTTAGAAAAAGTTTTTCAAGCTCTTCGATCGGCAAATCTCACTTTGAAAGCATCAAAATGTCAATTTTGCCGTCGAGAAATGCGATATTTGGGACATATTATTACACAAAATGGCATTAAACTAGACCCAGATCCAATTAAATCAGTCAGAAATTTCCCGCAACTAAAAAAGATCAAAGATGTGCAATCATTCCTTGGATTAACCGGCTACTATCGTCAATTCATCAAAGATTATTCAAAAATTGCTGAACCACTGCTACAACAACTACGAAATTCTCAAAAAGGCAATCATCATTTAAATTGGTCGAGAAAATGTACTGACGCATTTGAAACATTAAAAAAACGATTAACAAACGCTCCAATAATGAACACACCGAATTTTGAACAATCATTTATACTGGAACTCGATACGTGTGAATATGGTGTAGAAGCAGTATTAACACAAGAATAGGACGAAAAAAAATATGTGATAGCGTATGCCAGTCGAACTTTATCAACAACTGAAAGAAAATATGGGGCAACAGAACGTGAAGCATTAGCTATTGTATGGACGACAAAACATTTTCGTCCATATCTGGAAGGAAACAAAAGGATGGGGGTGCATTTGCTCGTAAATCGGCCTGTCGGACTTTTCTCAATGGGGACCCTACTATCTTATTTCAAATGAAAGATCTCGTTTAGATAAGCATTTTTGGTGACGGAACCAACTTTTGTTGCACGAGTGAATAAAAAGTTTGAGCATGACTAATAATCGATTTTTTGGGCTTAAATTGCCTTTATGAGCAATACGACATAGTACACCTATTTCATATGATGACCACAAGAAAAAAAAAGATTTTGTTACTTCATCTAGTAGGTCACATGACTCTCTAATATCACTATAAATATCAAGTTTTTTACTTTAGTCCTTCTGACTTTATAGTTAAAATACGATGCTCAAAAGTTCGAAAAATCATCTTTAGACTGTCAGAGGTACCTAGTGTAGATGTTCATTTTCTTCAATGGCAAGAGCAAACATCACCATTTTTTTATCATTAAGAGCTCTTTACATTAGCTACAAAATGCACTTATTATAACTAAGAAAACGTTGGGGGGAAGACTTATAGAAATAGCACACACTCTCATCATAGTATTGATTTTAATCATTCAACAGTGATACATCAATCATTCATGCAGCGTTTTAATCCTACATCAAGCTCAATAATATCTTATTTTAAAATGCGTATTATTACAAGAAATGAACATCAATGTAAGTGAATTTCTATTATGTTTTGTAGCTAGTAATGTATATACATGAAACTTGTAATATATATTCAATTGAAGATCGATATTCAATATAGTAGTTCGAGCGATGATTCTGTTAATACTGTGACTCTCGACTTTGATAAGAAATAAATGTTATAAGTCTTCTTCTGAGGAAGTGTCATAATCACTGACGGGTAATGCGTGTTGAACAAAATCGAAATATCTCTCCGATGCTTGTTTAACAGCCGATAAATCACCCTGATGAAGAAAAAGACATCATAGTGTAGCTGCCACATGAGAGCAACAACCCACAACGCGTTCACCAATCGGACAGTTGCAATACCAGCATTGAACGGGTTGTTCAACTTGTTCTTTATATTCAATATAGGTGTTATAAAAGGTCCTATTAGAGTGACGCGATCGAAAACGAACGCGAATAATATCATGTACATCCATTCAGATTTGTACAATAAATTCTTTTCGATCGGGAAATAAATACGACGGACTAAGATGCTCGTTCACGTAAGACTTTGCCATTCGAATTTGATAACCACCTATAATAGCCAAAAGATAGTAGAAAAAATTGAGATTAGAATCAAACCGAGTGTTATATCACGTAGTTGCGCTTCTGTCATACTTGAAAATAGGCACATTGCCGCATCCATATCAATCCAACTTCGTCTAGTATCAAAATGTTCATGTTCGATACCAGCTTTAAGTGTGTTTTGCTTATCAATCAACGCCAAGATTTTATCTCCCCATATAGCATCAACATCCTTAATTATTATGGCAGACGGAGAAAAGCAGTTGATTAGATTTGCGACAATTTTAAAAATATCTTCGAGACAAGGAATCATACTATTTTGCCATGTCTGGAGAAGAATTATCCATTTTTTAAAGCGACCTAGCTCAAACAAGTAGATATTACTAGATTATAAAACTCTAATATAGTCTCACCGTTTCGGCTTTCAATAGGCCACCGAGTTTTAGTAATACATCGGGCTCTGTTAGCTTCCGAAGCGGAAAACTAAAAAGAAGATTTGTGAAAATTCATTCTAAGAGTATATTATTACACTTTTTCGTCCATTCAAAGATAGAGGCATTGCCACTTGGATATCAAACTTATTCATTGTTTCCACGCTATCTCTGAAGCCACGATCTACGATGATGACATCGTTCGGTTCCAGCCAAGCCAACATTCCATCTCTGTTTTTTGTTAAGCAATCGTTCCAGATAGACGCATCATTATTACTACTATTGGCGAAAAAGGGGCCAATAGTACTAATAATGTAACCTGTCGTGCTAGTCACTACCATAGGCTTCAGCAAGGATCGAGCTTTGTGCAAACTATATGTAGCTCGTTGAAATTCATTATAAGCTGACTTTTGACAATAAATATAAGTAGCTGAAAAATAAAGCTTTTAGATTAGCAAAAAAATAGAATCAATGTTTCTGTTGAGATTTGTCAACCTTCAACCAATCCTTATGAAATTGTACCAACAGACTTCACAAAATACAATTGCTAGTAATTCCACTGCAGTCTATCAGAATAGTTTATCTCATACACAGAAGTATAATCTCTTAATAAACTATAGTTGACTGAAATCAGTTCAAGTCTTTCCTTAACAATTCGGAACTTTTGATTATATGAAAAAAAATCGTTGAACGTTGCTATAACTCCTTTACAAAATACGAATTTTTTATTTTCTCAACAAATTACGTTGCATTAACATAAATATTACTAGATAGATGAGATATATTGAGTTTATTTTAATAATTGTCTGAATCTAAAGATTTGAGTATCAGTTATGTCCTGTTCGCCTTTTTTCCAATCTTATCGATAAACTTTTTTCTCTGAAAGAAGAAATCATACCATCGGCAACACAGCCCACTTGATTAGCTTGGTTACCAACAAGTTTTTTCGCAATTTCTGTAGTATGCTGATCTATTATCTCTTGACGGCTTATGTGATCAAAACCAATATATTTTGGCATAAATTGTTTTTGTAATACTTCTCGAACAGCATGAAATGTATGAGATACTGCGCGTTTGTTAGGAAGATGGAATAACGAAGAAAGTATATGGTTACTCAATCCCAAACGGATTTTGCACAGGAAAAGAGCAAGAGCAACACGCTTCGATCGAACGGAGGTGTCGTACATTGACAAAAGATAGTGAGTAAGTAGATAATCAAATTGACCTAGAAGCAATAGACAATTTGTTACGTTTCAAATCTCAAATTAACATAACTACCTTTTCTTCAATCATTTATGTTGTAGTAATCCGTATCTGTTAAACAGTATGGATCATCAAAATCAAAATACTTTGGCATATTCAACTCTGAACGAAACTTCTCAAATCAGTTTTGAATCTCGTTAGTAGAAAGTACCATTACATCGGATAAATTACCTATATTATTATATATAAATACTAGTACAACCTGTTCACATGAGAAATTGTCATATACCCTTGATATTTTGAAAAGCTTCATACGTTAATTCTGTAAATTCATTCATGTATACAGAGCAGCAACAAGCTTGATCGAGAACGAAAATACCCCGTTTCATGAAGATTAAATCTCTTAGAAAACTAGGAACCACTTTCATTGATTGTTTGTCCGACAATCCAGAAACAATACATTCCCTGTGACAAAAATAAAATTGAATATATTTTGTGAATAAGATCAAATACCCATGATAATTAGTTGTTCGGATAATAGGTAATAATATACCAGTCTCTGTTCGAACTCCTAAAGAATTATCAACATTTTGCTGCACATTAATATCGTCGTCTTGCATCTACCACAAGTCAAAAGTAGACTTATTGATAATACACCGATGATATTACCTTTTCATCGTCCGATGAATGTTCGTTGATCCTCTGTTGCAATGATTGTGTTATACTTTTCCATTTGTAGTATTCATTTTGACATTCACCAGTACAAAGAAATGCGTTATCATCTATTTTCTTCATTTTCTGAGCGGCAACAAATAATTGTATCGATTTATTTACTTTTCGCCTTTCATGTTTTCCATCGATTTTACGTCCACAACGAACGCATTATACATCCACCATCATGTCGATTACAAAGATACGAAGTATTATTAAAACAGAACAAATTATAAAACGGATTATTCTTTTTCCAGCTCATAAATATACTACATGAATTGCAATACAAAATACATTACTCTCATACTTTCTCAAACACTCATAAAAAAAACAATATGCACGGCGTCATTACGTACACTATAAGTTTTATATATATATACATTACTAGCTACAAAAGATAGCAGAAATTCACTTACATTGATGTTCTTTTCTTGTAATAATACGCGTTTTAAAATAAGATATTATTGAGCTTGATGTAGAATTAAAACGCTGAATGAATGATTGATGTATCACTGTTGAATGATTAAAATTAATACTATGATGAGAGTGTGTGCTATTTTTAGATGTCTTCCCCCAACGTTTTCTTAGTTATAATAAGTGCATTTTGTAGCTAATGTAAAGAGCTCTTAATGATTAAAAAATGGTGATGTTTGCTCTTGCCATTGAAGAGAACGAACATCTACACTAGGTACATTTGACAGTCTAAAAATGATTTTTCGAACTTTTGAGCATCGTATTTTAACTATAAAGTTAGAAGGACTAAAGTAAAAAATTTGATATTTATAGTGATATTAGAGAGCCACGTGACCTACTAGATGAAGTAACAAAATCTTTTTTTTTCTTTTGGTCATCATATGAAATAGGTGTACTATGTCGTATTGCTCATAAAGGCAATTTAAGCCCAAAAAATCGAATATTAGTCATGCTCAAACTTTTTATTCACTCGTGCAACAAAAGTTGGTTCCGTCACCAAAAATACTTATCTAAACGAGATCTTTCATTTGATATAAGATAGTAGGGTTCCCGTTGAAAAAAGTCCGACAGGCTGATTTACGAGCAAATGAGCCCCCGTCCTTTATTAGTAAATATTAATAGACGAGATATTCAACAGAGATATAATATTTGGTTAATTCTATACACATTTTAATTGAACAAATCTTTATATTGAATTTTCAGAAAAATTTCGATGCTTTCTTTCAGTATGAGAGATATATATCTTTTTAATCGGTACTCTTCATTACAATAATTTCAAACAATTCCCATCTGTTTTCGAAATAGTACTATCAAAATATTGTCATTTAATATAGAATAAAACTGATTGAAGTATAAGGTCTTATGAGATAGTTTTTTTTTATATAAACTAGTGCACGAGATTTTTTTATTATGTAATTCAAAGTAGAATAAGATCAGGAGGACTTTTAAGGTTATTATATCTAAATAGTCNTGTGGGTGTGTCGGTGTGGGTGTGACATTCATTTGATATTCATACCCACACCCACACCCTGCTTCAGCTCAATGAATATCTTTTGATAGTCATAATTAAAGAACATCAATTGCTTCTGATTTATAAATGGAAATATATCGTTCAAAGGTGCGTTCAACAGTTCATGAAGAATGCTTCCTTTGAGATTATTGTTGATTTGTAGAGGGTTTCGAATTTTGTCAGTGGCACACGCAATTTCTTGAGCGAGAACAGCCAAAAAGCATAAGTGCAAATCGCTGGCAATGTCAGTAACATCAATAAAACCGCAGGTTACATCATCGGACAATTCTTTCAATCTTGTATTGATTCTAGCAGAATCTTCTGGCTGAATTTCTACATTTTGGAGTTTTTCCAGTTCTTTCAGTCGATAAGCAATCTTTTTCTGCTGATTCTCGTCTAGTTTCAAATGTTAATCTTCATGAAGAAAATAACTTTGAATAACGTCGAGTGACTCGCTGTTTATTACGGCACTATTTTTTTCTAATATGTTCCACAGTTCCTGAATTAGGGTGTGGGTGTGAGTGTAGGCATTATATACTTGCACACCTACACCTACCCACACCCACACCCAACCCGACAGAGGTGACCATATTCTGACCAAAACGAGATAAATGTGTTAGGATATTCTATCCTAAAGACTAGTACAAATCAACCAAAAGAACATATTAAAGCGTTGTTCTATCCCAGCTAAACTTAATTTTTTTACCAGAAAAAAATGCCCTTTTCAAAACTTTTGCTAGAGGGGGGGGGGCGTCAAAGGTTCCTAGAGGAGGCTGAGCCCCCTCTGGCTCCGCCACTAGTTTCGACTGCCGAACTCGAATTCATTCTTGTGGTTAACTTTCGAAAGAACGATAGGTTTTGATCAAATTCGCGACTTTTTGTATAACCAAGGCCAATGGCCAGTTTTGATAGGAAAAAAGATGACCTATTTTTTTTATGCTACTAAGAAAAACGGTTATTTCAATTCGATAATTGCAACACTACGAAGCAGCTGTTCAATTATCAACTGAAGGATCGTAAGCTAAATAATAATCGCAAACAAACTGATTAAGGAATAAAGCACAAAAGTTAGATTGTCATCGAGTTGGTTATATCAACTCACATTAACACTATAATTCACTGTTCCTATGTTGATAAATGATGTCCTATTCTGTTTTCATATGAACATTTGCGACTGATGTAACTATTGTCTTAAGAACATTAACTGGTGGAACCTTTTTTAATAAAGTGAATGTATGTATAGTATAGAAGAAAGGGGAGAAGAGATCAATGTTTTTCTTATCTCTTAATTTCTGATCTTGATATGATACGCATCTTAAAGACGCAAACAGACTGATTTTAAAACGATACTCTCATGAGTCTATTTTTTCAATTGATTTATTCTGACTAAAAACTTCTCAAAACTTGAATGATAAACTGTATCTGAAGACTATTGACTAATTATGCACGAAAATACACTTCTTTCGTGTTGAATAACCTCTTATATTGTTGTAGCTAACCGATTAAGTTGATCACCGGCTATTGACAGCCTTTCAGGCTTGTTTCTTATTGCAAACTGAATTTTACAGGAATTGATCTGGTTATCAAAAGACACATGTCTTCCTTTATTTTTTATTTCAGAGAAAAGAAGTTTATTTCAATAAATAAATTTCTTTCAATTATAGTTTGGTAACTTTATAATTGAAAGGCAATACATATAAACCGATCGTTGATGGAGCTTGTAATTTAAGTATGACTTGATAATTGGAATCCGAATTTTGTACTATAACATCATCAGTTGATTTTACTTCAGTTTCTCGTCCGTCTAGTATTCGATAAACCCGAATATCAGATTCTTTCATAAGCCAATTATCAATAGTAACAGAATATGATTGAAGCTGTTGTGTAAACGGTGTTTCAATAATAATGGTAAAATTATTCATTGGATAAGCCCATGAGATACTGACTGCAGTGCATGATGTAAAACGCGTGGCATCTAAATTGAGTGTTGCTGAATCACATGAGCGGGGAACCCAAATTGAACCACCACATGGATCGAATGAATCGTATACTTGAACTTCACAAGACTCATTCGTAGTAAGTGCACCTTGAATAAATCCTATTGATAGTAAAACAAAAAAAGTAAGTGTCGATATCATTCTATGTTATTCTTCGATGAAAATGAAATCAGAAAATGCAACAAAAAGCCATTTATATCGATATATTGTTTTTGCATACCAAGTATAACAGAAACAAAAAATCAAATAAGATAGGAGGCTTATGAGGCAATCAGAGCAAGGTCACGTTACAGAGATACAGCTGCGTTTTTTCGTCATTGTATAACACAAACTGAGTTGTCCTAGATGACTATCAAAGTTTATAGCTTGAATACTTACTCCGCTATTTCATTTTTATGTTCTGAAAAACTACCGGTTAACTTTTATTTTTTGTGAAGCATATTTCTAAGCTTATAATTTTCTTACTAGATCAGTTAGAGGGCTCAATTCATAGTCATTTTGTAGAGCTTGTTTTACTGCATCTTTTCATCATAGAAACAAACTTACAAACACGTCTTTCAGCTTAGAAAAATTTATTATACAAATCAAATCAGCATTTCTGTTGCACCCTTTATGTTTTTCAATCTAAACCATTTCGTAGTGTTTTTGTAAAGCAAGTGGTGATCGTATATAAGCATCATTAAGATGTGATTGAAAAAAACTTGTAAACTACCTTGCATCATGATAAATTAAAGCACAATTATCAAAAATAAATTATCACAATCATGATAAAATGTAGAAAATGATGCTCCATTAGCATTATCCCATAATGATGAAAGTGAATCACCAGTTGTTGATATATTCGAATAAAATTGAGGTATATGTAATTTATAATTTTCATTTTCATTATCTAATGTAAATTTACCATATTCAGCTATTTGAATTGGAGCATTCCATGGTTTTAATTGAAATATTTTTCATAGAATATATTTATTAAATATGCTTCTACCATAAGTTTCTGCAGTATAAGCTTAACGGTTGAATTAATATTGAATTGACTCGAATAAGATGAAAAATTTAATGCTTTGAAAGTCATCTTCGGATCAATACATTGTTGATTATAAAAACATTGAAGTGCTGATTGTAGAAAAGCTTCTAATGGATAACAACCAGCCATCATATCTTGTGATGATTGAGTGCATTTTGATGATATTCCACAATTACATCGTTGATAATCAATTGATACTGTTCGATAATCTAAATAGCGATAATTCATTTCAACATAATTATATTTCCAATTAGTTGAATACATGGGCGATTTGCAATCTCATTGTACCGTTTGAATTTTCGACATTTATTCGCAATAACTCTGGTTCCTGTTGACCGATTTGAATAATTATTTTTTGTTTTGATCCACTATTTCATCTCCACTACCAGGCACAAAATCAACTTTTTATCATATGCAGTTCTCGAGTTATGGACGCTACAAGCGTCAAAATCCTGATTTTTGGGGCTAACTAGCGAGTGAAAATAGGATTTTTTTCATCTTTGGTTCTTACTTTTAATTTAACTTTTTTCACCACTTTGTAGAGAATACCTTGAACATTCAGAGAATGTAAATGGTCCGCTGCAACATCATTTTTTTCTTGATAAATTTTGACGACCATTGGACTGACAGACACTTGAGGGTATGGGGTGTGGATCTGGGTGGATGTTGAACTTATCTTAACACCCACACTCTCATCAAATTGTACTTGGCACAGCAAGTAGCTTTGTTGGAACTGTTTCATAGGTAAATAGACCCTCAAATTACTCGAATCTGGACGTAAGATATCCTACGAATCCTGACCATTTGATATTTTGGATTTGAATTTAGTTAGAATGTGGCTTTCATTGTGAGATAGATAGAACGAGAGCGAAAATTTTTTCATAACTTTCTCGTCGGTAGCTCCCAGGCAATCTAGAATAGTTCTATTGTGAACTACCTCTTACGTTATATGCGGGATCTTTCGTGACATAGTGAAGATATTATACGAAAAATTAAGAATAATAAGTTTTAATAGCAGTTTTTTTCTTTATTAGTTGTGATTAGTATTCGATTAATGAGGTATTCATAAAAAGAATGAAGAAAGAAAGAAAAGTTCGTTGAATTTCAACTGTTTAAAAGAACGAATCTTGAATAAAATGTGTTAAAAATAGGGACTTGATTACTAGGTACGGTGTGGACTTAGGTGTAGGCATGAGTTTAGGCGTGAATGTAAACAAGTGCAAGTGATCCATCTCTACTCACACACACTCTATATTATCCTATTCGGCGCTGCCGTTAAGTTTCACTCTGAAGTTATCACAATAGACTCATAGCTAAGTGGAGCATCAGTCTTTGTCTTAGTTGTTGTTGTGACGATTACTGGAAGTTCGATTTGAATATTCGTATGAAAACCAGAAAGGTGAAGTTTAATTTGAATCTGATAATCTATGAGAATTTGGTGTCCAGTAGGCCAGAAGAGAGGATGATATGAGTACGTAGTTGGAAGCGTATTTGGCAAAGAAAATAGCATTCTGTCGTTCACGTGATTGCCTTTAAGTCTCTGGGTATCCGTGATTCTTTGCGATGCTATGATAAACTGTTCCTTCAGAGCAGAAGAGAATTGTCGATTTTGAATGAATGTACCCGATATTCGACGTATCGTGGCTTTACCTGGATTGTTGACTTCGAATTCAAGTGTCAACGTAGTTCCAGCAACAGCGAGATTATTTTCGAGATAACAGCGTAGACGAACACCGTTTCGATTTTCCTTTTGATCTTCGACTCGAGTCCCATTCAAACTTTCGAAAGAACGTTCAACAGGCATGATGAAAGTTTTGTGAATATTCTTTCCGCTTCTTTCTGGCCGGATGATTTCAAAATAAATGGAGTATTCAATATATTGAGATTTGGGACGATTTTGTGCAACTGAAGATGGGAGGTAATGAGGCAGAGAGAAACTAAATGGCCAATTATGCTTGCCAGATGCAAGAGCATGTTGGCCCTGCTCACAGAGCAGACCTGAAATGATTGGTACGACGAAAAATGGTTCCATGTACGTCCTTATTTCTGTCATCTAGCCATTCGAATGATAAGTGAAATAAACACAATTTTCTACGAAAATGCCCTTCATTCTGTTGAATCGTAATTCGGTAGGAGCATTGTTGAAAAACTCTATCATACCAGATATTGAGTCACTTGTTTGATACATTTTCTTGTTGTGTTCATTTAGTTGCACTGAAACATTTGATGTGGCTGGCTACGCTAGGGTGACTTCCCATTGATATCGAAGAAATGGTGCAATATTGATAAATAACTTTCTGAAATCAAAATATGAGTTAGATAGAAGCATTAAAAATAAAACGAGACTATATTTTCACTTTGTCTGCAAAAGAATTGGATTGTTGTCGATTCCTATTTGTGTACTCTATATAGTTTCTATGTGCAGGGTACTCATTTACATCGATCGTGTAGCTGTGTAGGTATCATGAAAAGTTTTGACGTTGTTAGCTAAACGAATATTCGTCGTTGTTAAGTGTGAATATGTATAAATTTTGGGTGTTTGTGGGTTCAGTTTATTAGGGATATCTTAGTTATGATGACAAATACAAGAGTGATGGAAGAAGAGGAGATAGAAAGAAGAATGGTCAGAGAGCAAGACTATGAATACAATATCTGATAACACATGAGAATAGAACAAACGCCAATATATATATTAGAGCAAGTTAGAGAAATTACATATATGCCATAGAATAAAACGGTAGAAAATTCTAGATACGAGATGTGACTATTTCCAACCTTTCGAAATATTCTTGAATTCCCCAAATGAACAATATGGGTCTTGTTTCGAATTTTACTGATGATAGGCTCCATAAAAATAGATCAAAACTGGCACAAGCATCAGATTACGTAATTTGATGCATGGCGACAAAACCTCATGAAATGAATTGTCAATATTGAATGTATATAATTAGTCCCAAGCGATACCTAACAGCATTAGTTGTTGGGGTTGATTTTTGAGCATTCTAAGTAAACGAGAGTTTAATAATGGGAATAAGCATGTGCTCTCAAAGACGATAGTTTTGATTAACGATCAATAAACATTTTCAAAATTAGGAAAACGAGCACTTCTAAGATGAAAGCCGAACACGCTGCCTTAATATAACTTACTGACTGATGGTGAATCATTTAATTGTCAGTTAATAATCAAATTCTATCTGTAGTTGCTTGTTGCAGAAGAAAAAATGCTGTCTAAATCCAACTAATACGGGCATATACATCAGATCACGCTAGCTACAATCTGTTCCTATGCTTGATGGTTATGTGAGCACTTTGGTGTTTTACTGTATTGTGCAAGCATGGTTCAGTGACTAAGGAATAATAGATTTTGTAACTACCGTTGTTTTACGAATGGAACCGGAGATTTTTACACTCAAAATGTAAAAGACTCTTACTAAAAGAAATAGTCGAAAAAGTAGACTTTTACACATTTCATATTTGAATTGTCAGAACGAAAATGAATACTTACAATGTCAACCTTCTCTCTAATTCATACTGTTTTGTTCGTACGATTATTGTGATAGGAAGTGACGGAATAAAAGCAAAGCTGCATTTGTAGAACATTACTCATAACTGTCATGAAATAAAGAAGAAACGAAACAATTCTCTGAGCTGCTCTTCATGCACATACGTACTCTACCTAATTACACAGCGCGTATGCAAACATATGTTAACAAGCATAGCAAATTCAGATGCAGCAGTTTCTTATCTAGAAATATTTTTAGTACTATGGTAGTAACGTAGATCAGTGCTGCAACCGATCGGATTTTTCCTTACCTGTGCCGATCTCAACCCGTCAGATCGAACCAACAGCTGTACTGACTTGAGTCATTGTTCACTGTTTCCATCTTGTATGAATCAAATCAGTCTCTTGATTAGTCATCCTGATTCCTGAATCACTACAGAAATTACATAAGGCTTCTGCTTTACTATAGTAATTATTGTGGTTTGGACCGCAATTCAGGGTCAAATCATTATAGTATTTTTGTGAAACATGATTCTCAACGAATGTTGAAATGTAGGGCAAGAAAATTGGCTCATCTCTGGGACTTGCTTCAAAGACGACCACAAACATGCCGATGTTCTTTTAAATATCGCCATAAATTTCCAAGTGTGTGTATGGCTTCCGTGGATTTTCCAGCATGCTGGCTTTTGGTCTCGGTGGAGTCTATCATTTAGGTGATACGATTTCCACAAAAGACAAAAGCGAAAGTGCCGTATTTCAGGATACTTGAACGTTACGACAAAGTTATCTTAACTAGCTATTTAATTATGTTAACTCTATCATTACACCGCGTTGAAAACATTTGATTTTATCTTATTGTGTGTAAAACCCATATCCACACCCTAAACTATTCTAATTTTTAAGAAATTTCAATATTCTTATGAAAAACAAACGATGGAACAGTTAAACATAATCATATTTTATTTTATTAGATTCCAATCACATAGCATAATGTTATAAGACGTTAAATATTATAATCGTGTTGATATCTCATTAAAATTCATAGTAAAAATTTAAGAAAAAGAAATGTCGACACTTTTGTATAAAATATGGTCAATTTGGCTTGCTTGAACCTTGGCATACTGATTATTAATTTATTTTGTGCCATGATGATTCTCTTCGAGCATTCATAAATGTTTGATTAGATATAAAATAGAATCTTTCCAATGTGAACTATTTAAGCATCATGTTACTCAAAGAAATAGCCGTCATTTGAATTTATCGAACAATGTAAAAAGAATCTCGTGATCTGAATCAATTCAATGGATGATAAGAGTTGATCTAATAACATATTGAAGAATAAAATGTTTTATGAACTGATTGAGAACAATGCACAAGAGATATAATATAACTACATGTAGTTTTGAATGTTCCGTACTCAAAAAGATGAGTTTGAAATAACGTCGAGATTATAAAACCTTTCGACAATTTAAAACTTCTGGTATTTCTTACAAGTAAACTATCTGAAATTGAAAATCGTTATCGATTTCAGATTGTGTGCATAACCTAGATCCCAAGATGATATCAAAAAATCTCGAAAGGAGGAGATACAACCTTTCTTACAAAGTTATACCTGTTTCCTAAAATTTTTAGTATATAGACAACAATTAAATAACGATATTTTGTCCTGAAATTCTGTTTAAGAATAGACTGACTTGTAACTAGAACGTCCTGGATATTTCACCGTAAAAGAATTTTTCTTTCATGAGATACTGGATTCCTA